TTAGCATTACAAATATCCACTTGAGATGTGTGACAACTATTACCATACTGAGTACAACAACCAATATCAACAAACAGTAGTATGAATAGTGAAAATTCCCAGCATCACATGTATCTTGCAATCTGTAATTAATTGAACTTTTTGTTTGAGAAAACCCAACTCTATTCGAAAAAGCACCTATTCTCCCCCTCCAAGTTGTTAAGTCAACCCCCATTGTCATACACTACAACTAGTGGGACTGCCATATCCCTTAAGAACTCAAGTGAATGTGTTGAGTGTGAACACATATACTGTATATGTTTTGGGTCTAATAGAAATAAAGTGAAGGGAGAAACCCAGATATCATACATGTATAAATGTGAATACAAATAGTCTAATCAACATAATATGGAAGACATAATATCTTGAAGATGGTAAATTAGACATAATGACACTGTTATGTTGGCTTAGAATTGCACCAAACAGCTGATTGAAATCCATATCCTGACTATAAATGTAAATAAACATTGAGTTTGGCAACATTCCAATCCCCCTCCCATCCATACTTGCTATGTGAAAGCATGGTAAACTACACAAACATAAAACGCGCTCAGCTGTTTGAACATTACCAGTGCCCCTCAATCAAAATAACAGTTACAGTGTTCCTTGCATGAAATAAAGTGAAAATTATGCATATTTAGAACGTCAGTTACACATACATGTATCATGAAAAACAAGCAAAATGGTTTGTGTGTGTTCTAAAAATAGACACGCATAAAGCACAAATATTGTTGAAATACATCAATGTTATTTGCAAAATACCCAGATAAAATCACCAATACACTGTGATAACCCAGGTTGCCAACTTGAATTTGTTGATCTACAAGAAATGCAAGAGCTGCCAATATCGAATAAAAACCACGGACGTCAAGTAAGTTTCTGGCGAACCGGAGCATAGATTATTCAGAGGACTGGAAACAAGAATGACCTACCTTTTTATTTCCCGAATCTCGCCTGAAATTAGCTCATCTTGGTGACTGTAACCTGTATATCTGTATTAATAGAGTCTTTTTGTATCGCATCTGCCTCAATTTTAAAGTTTTATTGGTATTTTTAATATGATTTCACTGTTTTTGTGGACTGGTACGATTAAGCCAAGCAAATGGCAGCTGATCTGTTCAAAGTACTTTTAGTACTAATTATCGCAAATGACAATAATTTTGGAAACAATATTATACTAAATAGACTACTAAGCATCTAAGGTAAGAAAAACTAGATGAACAACTGAGTCAATAGTGATAAATAGGCCAACACGAACTGCCAGAATTGTCATAGACTGCCATCTTGTTTCCAGTCCTCTTAAATAATCTATGCTCCAGCTTTCGCCAGAAACGTACTTGACGTCCGTGATAAAAACTGAGAACCCTACCTTATACACAGTGGAATGTTGACTTCATTTACGCACATGGAGCCCATACCTCAAACGTATCTTTAGTCACATCATCATAATATAGACAATTTACCCGGCGATTTGTAGAACCCAAAAAATCAAACTTCATCATACATACAAACATGTCATGTACATACACCGGAAGTGCACTTGGGGTAAACTGTAGCAGGTCACGTGTCATAACAAACCATTACAGAATTTTGCACAGAATACCCTATACATAATCCTGTTTTTATATAGTAAATAGTTCAAAACTTTTAATGATTTTTTATCAGAGTTTGTAAAGCAGACATTTGTTCACGTTTTAGCAAAGAGATATGATGTTTAAGTGACACGAGTTAGCCAGGATAAAGGGAGAACTTCAACACAACTGATCAATCTGAATACCCAATGTTCTGTATAGTTACTAGGTTAAATGTCCTCAGACTCAGAGTTGCTTCAAATGTTCGATATCGATGTATATTAGTATAAATGTCAAGTGGTACAATACGTGTACCAGAGTTTGGTTTTCAAATAGCATACCATACTCGCCTTAGGAAAGTTCAGAGTCTTCTCCAACATGATCCAGGATATCAAAGGCCCTTGTTCTACCGGATTTGAGTTTCGCAAGTACCTTTCCGTTTGTCATCCACGAATTTTCAACATCTTTTTGTTTTCTCAGATCATACAAAAGCTTCCCATTAAGAGTACTAGCATCCTCGTAAATCCGAATCGGCGATCCCTTCAGCAGTTTTTTGTTTTTCATTACAATGTCTTTATGGCTTCTTAATCTCAGTCTAACGATTATCTTGCTGGTTACACCGGGTTTAGGTTGGCCAGGGACTCTATGGGCGATTTCCACCATATCCCTGGAGATTGGGATATTCTTATCCTTCAAAGTTTCGACAACCAGATCGGCATATTGATCGACCGTCTCAGAGCCATTAGACTCCGGGATACCATGAATATTTATGTTGTTCTTGCGAGAGTATTGTTTGTTATGATTACTATCCAACTTGAGCTGTCTAAGATCATTTTCCATTAGTATAAGTAGGATGATTTTATTTATAACTGAATCACCAAACACAAAAAGCTTTTATAAGTGACCCAGAAGGGGAGGGCCTCTGATTGCTAAATCTATGGAGGGGGGTGTATCTTATTAAGTCAAGATAAATCAAATGTATTCAAACCCTTTTCAATGGTGTCTATACAGATAAAAGTGTCATTAAATTGCGATAAAAATAATTTTGTCAAGTTAAGGGGTATTGCTGAAGCATCCAATTCTGTCAGCAAAAGGAAATATTGCTGTTTCACAATTGTGTTTTTGCAATTTAGGCGCAAGACTAATACGTACTTGAACGTAGTTGAACATGTAATACGTACATGTTCAACTACAGGAATCCCTTATCATTTTTGAATTGAAAACAACACTTAACATATGAAACACTAGACCATTAATTTACTCAAACATTTGTTCTGTTCATTTTTTATTTATTTTTACAAATAGGCCTGGATGGCTTTTCTATAACATTAAATGTTTATGCTCTAAAAATAATGCTCATTTGTAACGATAACACAATGATGCAAAAATGAATACAAATCTATAATACACAAGAACATATATCCAATGAATGCTTATGAGCTATTACTTTATTGTATATTGTAACAATATGGGGATTTTATTTTGAAACGAATTGCACAAACAGAAAATTTTGTTAAAAAATTTCATTATGATACCCGAAAAGAACGAAATCAAAGAAAGTGTCAAAACGTGTAGACAAACAAAAAGGAGAATCACGTGACTGTTGATTTGGTATTTATTTATCTTAAATGCCGATAAGTATATCCTTTGGATTTTCTTGGAACAATATTATAATCAGAAGTTCTGAATAAATGCCATTTTCTGAATAGAGTAAATAGTAGTTATTATTTAAGAACAGATTAAACTTCATTATTTGATCGCTTTTGTTGTATTAACATGGGGATGGTACTACCGATGTAGCAATTTCTGCCATCCACCTTTTTAAAACGTTCATACATGCCTTCATATATAATTGTTTCATATGCCTTTAAAGTGACTGTACTAAGTCAATATTCATCCTATGGAAAGAAATAGCTGTTCGTTTTTCAATGTTTCTGCAGGTTGCGTTTTCATACTTCCGTAGTAAATGCACAATGTTGCATTGCGACATATTGGTTGTCTCACAAATATCGCCAAATATCGCAATAGGTTCACTGTGAATTAATGATGTTTTCCTCACATAAGGACGCCCAAAGTTAATTTTACAAGAAATTGAAGTTCAGGTAAAATTATTTAGAACAGAAAAAAATGTCGAGTACTGGCAACGTGACGGCTCACAATAGTAAGTCGCTATTTCAGTCTTAGCTGTAGTGGCTAGCCCAAATGGCTCATACATGTATGTAGAGCTTCTGACTTGCTTCAGAGGTTTCTTGGTTCGATTCCTGTACGAGGTATTGGATATAGCACACTCCGTTTCAAGCGTAAAGGTTTAAATTGTTTTATTAAAACTCTTAGCTCATTCATTTTTTGTGTTTTCTAAACTAAATAAGATCACTAGCCAAATTCGTGAATAGTAAGAGAAATAAAACTGATATATTGCAAAACAATAAAAAATATTACAAAAAAGTGTTGATTATTTTTGACGACCTAGTTTATTGTGACATCTGATCGTGTCACCTTATCATGACCGCAATGAACACGCGCTCATACAATAGCTTGAAAAGCAAATTGCAATGTATTTGCCACAACAAAGATAGATTAGCAAAATGAATGTGCAATTACGCACAATACCTCATACAATCACATAACAAAACAACTGATCGTTTGCTGCAATTTTAAAATTCAGTAAATGATACTGTTGACAAAAGTTGATCGACTTATGGATAAATATAGCTGTTGCACATCCTGGAGTGATTCACCGAATCGTTTGAGTCCTCACTGTTTTTCAAATGTTTTTTTGTAATGTACAAATGGAAATTTCCCTAGTATACCGTGGGGTTGAGACTGTATCTGAAACATCTTGTATAAATACAAAATTGTATATGAACTATTTTTGATTTTATGAGTGTTGGATTTAAATAAATACTTGTTGTTCAATATGTACTTTAATACCGTTTCTGTATGGATGAAATGACCCTTGAAATTATGGTCCTTGATTATGGAATTTGAATGGTGTTTCTTTTGACGTTTGATAATATATTTTATTTTGGGATATCAGGGGTTTGTTTTCCTATGCCTTGTGTGCATTTAGATGTTTTCATTCTCTAACTGCGTTCTGTACAATTTCTGGTCCTTTCCCTTTTGCACTTGTGCGTACATATCAATGACAAGAGTTGATTGAACCAATAGAATGATGTTCATAAAAATGAACTGGAATTATCAAGAATTTATAATTAGAACATGTCATGATCGAGAACACAATATCTCATAAAATATCACAATGATATCTATTGATAGATGATAACAATGACGAAATTCAACGAAATGATACTTCTGACAACCCACTCGACTCAGATTAGTATAAATATGGCTGTGTTTGTAGCAAACGTCGCCGATTCGAAAGGAAACTGAATCGAAAAAGTGGTGTCATTGAAAGAAAATGAGAAACTCGATTTTCATATTGGCACATTTCTATGCCCTGCATAGTATGGTGACTTTTATCCAAGGTAAGTGTCGATCATATATAATGCAAACCGTAAATGGTAGATTATCATTATTTTTCATCACAAATCTGATATGATTAAAGATATACAGAAGAGAACGATTAAGATATTTTCCGTGGAAGGAGTGGTATCGATATGGAGAACTTTTTGAACACACGTTTCTCTTAAACCAGTCATAAAAGAAATCTAAAAATTTAACTCATCGTCAATTTAATGGTCATCTTTTGCATGGTAGCAATATAATTTGAAAAATATATATATACTTTCATCTATATTGTTTTAGAAAACACATCAAACACTTGTTTTGTTCTTGGTATCATGTTTTCAGAGTGAAATGAAACATCTTTCCGAACCACATTGGAACAAAACGACATAAACACAACATGTTTACTAGGTCTCCCAATATTGTAATTGTACAAAGGAAATTTTGGTTGATTTTAAAAAAGTATCGTGTTAATGAAATTAAATGTTTATCTTGATTTTTTATCTATTTTGGGGGGATTTTTAAAAAAATTTTGAATACTTTTTTTTAAAATCAACCAAAAATTCCTTTGTATAACTATAATATTGAGAGGTCTAAAACATGTTGCATATGCTATTTTGTTCCAACAAGGTTCTGAAAGACATTTTATTTCATTCTCAAGAATTGGTAGAAAGGAGCAAAAACAATTGCACTAAAAAACAAAAAATGTTAACAAAAACAGTTATATAACATATTTCTAAATAGTTTTCGCATTAAATTGTTGTCAATCAGTCAACATTACATAAAATACCGTGTTTTTTACAGAATGTTTTCAATGATTGAATTAAGAGAAAAACATTGTTGAATTCAGTTCTCCATATCGATACCAATCCTTTAGATTTAATATGTTGCAATATGTATTATCTGAAAATCTTAATCGTTAAAGAAGTGAATATTTTCAATGTTTGAAAAATATATGCACTCTTTATTAAAATAAAATGCATTTAATTTCTAAAGGTTCGGAAAGACATTTTATTTCATTCTCATTTCGGATCTAATTTATTTCTCTTCTTCAGTTTAGGTTATTTATTATAATATACTCCTCTAAAAAAGTTAAGGACCAGTGGTTTTTCCTCATAGGTTTACATGTTAACCCCCATATTTGTTTGAATGACTAGTTTCTGGCTTGGAACAAAAGAAAACCAGATAAAGTAAATAAATCTGTATCTTGATTCTATCTTCTATAAAGTTTGCAAAATTCAATGTAATATCTCCATTGCAATGGGTCAAAATTTGATGTCAAAATTGATGAATTTCATGAAATTTAACAATTATAACATTTAATTTTTAATGTAGGATTTTACTTGCGAAGCATGCTCCTCACATTTCACACTCTTACACGTAAGTCTATAGTATAAAGTTTCTAGGCTCTCTAATTAAGGCTCCAGTGACATTATTTGTCACATATTTTACAAAGAATCGAGTTCTTGTAAATGTCTTGCACTTTTGTATACCCTGCTAAGATAGTACATGCTAGTACATTGTCCATGAAGCAAATTGACTTCCATTGGCAGGAAAAAGTCAAATTTTCCTATTTTGTCATAAATCAAATATTTTTTAGTGAGTGAGCATTTTAATTATTCTTTAATAAACAATGGTTTATTATTTGATCCAACGTACACCTATTCTGTATTATCTTTATTTAAAGCATTTGCGATTTCACTCTCTCTACAGCTAAGTACAGATTTTACTACCAGGAAAACATTTATAATCATTTATTGATTTATTTTGGCTATAATGGGCTCAATCAATTCAAGTATATGAAAGTTATTAAGGGTGTAAGCAAGAGTGTATTCTTGTATTACTTTAATTCTGATATAATTATTTTGTTTCAAAGAAATCTACACGAGGGATTCACTTTTAATTTTCATAAATACATAGCACCGTGCAAATTTATATTTGAAAAATGTTCAGACATATCAAGAGAGTTTGAGATTTTCTTAAAATAATTTCTTAACTTTCTCGCATTTCAGGTTTTACTATCATTTAGTTCTTTAAACAACAAAAAGACAAAATTAGGCATTATTTACCGTCTTGTAGACAGTTAACAACCTAATTTGCTTTTCTGACATTGTAAAGTCCTTAATTATAAATTTTATTTGTACACTGTGTAGATATCTTTTTAGAAATATTTCTAAATAATTCTTTAAAATGCCGCCTTGCTAAAATCCCTCATAACTTGAAAAAACCTCCAAGCGATTTACTTTAAAAACAGGAATCAATAGAGACGGTGATAGAGCAATACTAAAGGTTCCGAGTCATAAAAATCATGGTTCTTCAACCTGACATACTTCTGGATTTTCTGGGATTTAGTTTTCAGTATATACACAAGACAGACAGATAATATACCTGTCATACCATTGAACTAATGCCCGATATCTGCTTTCCAGGAGTAGGCTGGTCTGCGTGGTTAAATCGAGATCAGCCTAGTGGTAAGGGTGATTATGAGTTAACAGCTGATTTTAGAAAAGCAGGCGTGAGTATTTTATATGATTATAACATTTGATTAACTTCCTGGAATGTAAAGCTTAAATGAAATAAAATTCAAATACCAAATAAATTCTATATCAATTTATATGATGTAAACTATCTGCAAGTTATATTTTCGTCGATATACATATCCGATCCAGATGAATTCTGTAGCAGATATGCAATGCTTATATTTTGCCATATCTTCTAGAGGCTACCATGCGAGAGCCCAACAGCAATAGAATGTAGAACAGTAATAGACCAGATTCCTTCTTCTGAAATTGATCAAGTGTTCCCTACATCATACAACTGTACTTTACAAGGTGGATTAGGATGCATCAACACCCAACAGAAAACGGGTAGCTGTTACGATTATGAAGTGAGATATTACTGTCCAGAGGATGTCCATGGTTAGTAAACGTGCTTGTGAAGTAACAAATTTATAGTAGCCGGGACAGAACAACTCATCCCTCTCTATTTACCTGATAATATTTTCAAATCTCAATCATTTTCATGAAATTTTCAAAGAATAATCTTCAAAGGATTCCAAACATACAAAAACATTTCTTTAACTCAACTCATAGTTGATTCCTATCGTAATTACAGATTTTCTAAAACGATGGCCAGATTCAGCTAAGAATACCCAAATGTGTGTCTTTATTCTGAAAATGATGATTAATATTAATTTATTAATTATTAATGTTTCCCAGTACGACTTTTCACATTATCACATAAATGGTTTCATTTGTTACCCTTGTCTAATATAAAAAATAGTTTATATACATTGACCTGATTTAAAATTCAAATTAAATTTAGACTCACTTATTTAGGACTTTGTCTACCTTGGACACTGTCATTCTGTTGTAGACTTATGTCCCTTGTTTTACTGAGATGCCAACTCAAACATCGTGTTAAATACTTTTGATTGAAGATATCTCATTTGTGATGTTTGATACTAGCTTAATTCATGAATTGCTTAAATTCCGACCTTCAATGGGGTTAATAATATATTTTTGTGCAAGAGATACATGTCATCGACTACACAAAGAGGTTTGGACAAGAAATAGTAAAGGGGCAGGCAGCGGTAAGAAGTAGGATGACATTAGATCAAAACATAGTATTAGGTCAAAACGTATCATCAACTAATAAATCATATCATATTTTGACTAATATTTTCTGTTAAACAAAATAAAATAACAAGTGAATACATGTACTATGTAAACCAATACATATGCTAGCTTTCAAAAGCAATGACTGGACAACAATCGAAAAAAATTTAACAATAATAATAAATGGTCCATTAAAGCAACACACAGACATTTTACCTATATTATAAAACCTCAAAAAGTAATAAGCATGACACTGTGCCATATGAAATGAGAAAAAGAAAATATATTGTGGCTCAGAAATAAAGAAAATGATTTGCCATGGCCGGGATTTGAACCTGCAAAATCATGGTTACAAGCCTGATGCTTTAACCACTATGTCATAGCCTCAGCTTGAATTTTGAGATGTATTTTTTAATATCCATTCTTAATATTAGAAAAAAATTCCACTCCACCACAATTATTACATAGTAGTCAATAATCATGCTAATAATATTAGAATGCATAATATCTGAGTAAATATTATGATCCAAATTCAGACTTAATGCTGTTAATCCAGTTTTCATTTTGAAAATCTGTTTCCTGTCATGAATGTCAAAAATGGCCTCCAAAAGAAAATTCTTGCTTCCAATTTTCAAAATGATATATATTCACGGATCAGTTATTTTTGGCACATAAATCCATCCTAATAGAAAGGTAAGAATATTTTCTTGAAAAGTATTTCTTGAAATCCCAAATTTCAGCCTCTAAAGTCTGTGAAAGTCACTTTAACAGAAGTTTGCCATCATTTCCAAAAAGCTGAAAAGAAAATGAAAATTAAGTATGAGTGAAATAAATATTTTTATATTTTAGAAATGTTCTGAAGGTCATCCTGTAGAAATTTCATGAAAAATTAATGTGAATTAAAAATAATTAACAGGAAAAAAAAGAGGAATGACTTGTTTTGTCCCGGCTACTATAATTAGAGGTTATGTCACTATTACGTGAAAAATGAATTCTACCAATATAGGCCGACTTTTGGATGCTCTGTATTCGGTCAAGAACGAAGGCATAGTTCACGTCATAGCGACAAAACTGATGTATTACATAAGGGTTATGTACTGGGAGGTTTTGGATACAGGGTTTATCCAAAGGGGGGGACACACATTTTTAGTCTTAAAAGTAGTTTGAAAGATTTTCACACTCATATAATGCAGGAGGAGTTCAATCACTTGATACTAACATTTGATATATACAGCATAAGTGTGACGTATAATCTTTATAAAGTTAAGTACTCCAAAGTGTGTTTCGGGGCGAAGATCTGATTCTACTTGTAACCCATTAGGAAAGTGCCACACCCTCTTTTGTCCAATATTGACACTTTAGGCCCGGCAAATTAAACCTGCACATCGCTCCAAAACGCAATCTTGGGTTGTTTCGGGGTGAACTTTATCATTTTGAGCTTAATGAAAGATTATAGAATGATGAACAAATGGGGCAAATCTTGTGTATAAATACTTACGATGAATGTGTCATTTCAAAGATTGTTCATCGAATTACTTCGATTGGTGACGACGATATGATTTTGAAAAGGTTTCTAAATTAAGAACGTGACGTCACTTCCGAATTATAGCATTAAGTTAATTCGTGTTCAATTTCTCCGAAGTTCAAAATACATCGGTGGCCTTGCGGTAGAATGCTCGCTCAGTACGCAAGAGGCCCGGGTTCGAGTCCCGCACAAACTTTTTTTTATTTTTTAACTAAATGATTGTTCTTTGATATTATGCCGAAAAAACAATTTTTATTTACATAAACATCATATTAGAGCTTGAAAATGTAAAAACAATATATGTGTACATATTGCATTTTGGAGCGATGTGCAGGTTTGATTGCTTAGAAAAAACACTAAAATTGTGAAATATTCTATGTTGACCATTGGAATCTCAAAAACTATATTTGAGAAACAGTTAAATCGTATTTCAAAATGTTGAAATCCCCAGGGAACATCATTGAGACGAAGGTAACAGTGTTCTTTTGTAACGAGGGATATATGGCCGAAAATTCTCCAAGTCAAAAAACTGTCAAAAATTGTTAGCAATAGTATATACTTTGTTCTTTACTACACTGCCTGATACTAATACTGGCAGAAATCCATATAATAGTTCACTGTATTGTAGTTCTAATAGGTTTTGGTGCAACTTGATCATCTTCTGAAACGTTCAAAATGATTTTTAGGTTGTACTGAGCCAGAATCACATGTACAAGAGCTCCCTCGTGGATGCAACCCTAAAAGCTATAATGTGAAAAAATGCAGTGGAAACCCGTGCAGGATCCAACCGCTTAAAAGGCAAATAGCTGGACAAACAGAATACTGTTGTGGTCCAACTTCACAAAAGACAGTCGTCGTGCGATGTGAAAATGATATAAGCATCAATGTTATGGTGACGGAAAAATGCGGCTGTATTGTTTGTAACCAAGCTAAAGACCCAGTAACAGGGAAAGTGTCTACTCAAGATACGTCGGTGGTTTTTTATGGAAGAGCATTTGGAGTTGACGATAATGCACCACTGACCTTTGGCGAGGTATTACTGGGAAGTGTTTTACAAACATATACTGGATTTACTGGTAACTTTCATTTCAAAGTACCAAAGGGACAGACGCGAATTGTTGTGACTGTTAGGCCGAGTCTATGGTTTCGGCAAAATCTCATACCAACAACAAAGGCGTTTCAAGTACCCACAGGTCATATTGGGGCATTTTACAGAAACATTCCAATGATGACAAAACCTAAGCCAATACAGATTGACACAACAGAAACTAATAGACTTACAGTTGCAACATTAAAGGCTTCAAGTGATCCGTTCATTCAGATTTCAATTCCATCAGGCCAGTTTGTAGACAGCAAAGGAGCAAGTTTTACTGGCAAAATCAATGCTTTTATAAACTTTGTTGACCCGAGAGATCTTTCATCAATTAATACGATGCCAGGAGACCTAACCTTTGAGGATGAAGATGGTGATACAGGACCCCTGCAGACTTCAGGGATGTTTCGGTTGGGTTTTGAAAAATTAGACGGAACTGAGGTAAAATTGAGAGGCAGTATTGATGCAGCGATCGGCGCAGAATTTATTGACCAAACCCAGATTCCCCCTGTACAGGTATACACCTTGAATGAGGCATCTGGTCGATGGGGAAATCCGACTCCACTTGAACAGGGAACAGGTAGACAAAGGCGTTCTAAAGCATCATTTCCCAGTACTTTCTTAGTAGGGAATGCAGTAATAACTGACAAGTACTGGATAAACTTTGACCGTCCGTATTTGAATTTCTGTTTTATAAACTTGAGAATGTATACAGATGCGACATTCACCACAGAGATACCATGGACATCTTCTACTGACTTGACAGTAATTGCACTGGGTTCAAGGCCTGGCTCTGATCCATCTTGGGACATGATTACAACTGGAGGAATGTCGTTCGAGGGAAAATCGCAAGTTAGGTCCACAAAAAATTGTATCTTGACTGTGTGTGGAGCAACAAATATCCACGCCTACTTGTTTGCTGAAAACGAAAATGGTGCATTTTCATCCTCATCTACACTAGGAGGGAGTCCTCCAACGTACCCTGTTGTTAATTACATACCAGCATTTACTGGCACTGGCCCTACAACTACACACAATAGACCAATCGAGACTAATGCTACTCTAGGTGCCCCTTCTTCGAACACCAATGGACCAGTCTACCATAGCATAAACAACCTTTGCGAGAGCCCAGCATATTGTAGCGGTAGTTGCCCAAATCCTGCAAACCCAAGGTGTTTCTTGTGTCACTCCGTTAAATGTCAGTACCACGGGTGGTGGTCATCAGTGCGATGCCAAGAGGCAACACCTTGGGATCCCCATTATAGGTTTTATAGAGATCCAAATACATTGTATGAGTACTCAGTTTGTTTGACGGCACAGCCAATCATAGGAATTGCACCTGTTTGTCCTGGTACACCAGCACTTTGGCCATTGGCCTGGTTTCCCCAAGCGCCGCAGTATTGGGCGTGGTACATAAAGGTGAGAGTGTTAGTAGGCAGTTCCGCAGATGAATCCTCAGTCAGAGCAACGTCAAAAGATAGCGGCACCGGGGACATATATGGCATACGTGAGGATACGACTTCAAGTAGGACAGTGTGCCTGGAGTTTAAAGGAAGTGGCCCTAAACTTCCATCAGGTACTGCAACTACTCTCGTTGAAATTGATGTTCAAGGCACCGGATGTAGCATAAGCAGTGTCCTTCCTGCTCTTGCCAGTTTCCAAGATACATCAAGCTCACATTTGTTTGCATTTAAACCTTCCTTGGGATCGAGCTTTGGAGGAATTTCTACTGGGTTATACTTTGCTGATGAACCTGCTATGATAACCGCTAAGGGCGTGGCAAAGGCAAGATGTGAATGCAGTGACATATCGTTAGGAATTCCAAGCTGTGCTGTCCCTTTACCAACTTCAGGAGTTGGATTAACAGTGCAGTGTAAGCCAACGCCAACTGGATAAAGGAGCAGCATCAATTCATTTGTGTAACATTGAACTAATAAAAAGTGACACTAGATATACAGCCCTCGAATCTTAATACTAGCTATATTATAGCATTGTTTTCCTAATCGAGCACTTAATTTACACAAAATCCATAATTGAGCATACTATACTTTAAAACACAAATGTATATTGACATAAAAAGCAAAATGTATCCAAAATGACTGAATATGGACATGAACTATATGAGGCAGTATTTATTTACTCAAGAGGTAAACTATGCTTATTCAGAACTGAATATAATCAATAACGGGAAAAAGGCGTAATTAATACTTTATCACAATGACTATATATGAACATGTTCTGAGGCAGTATTTATTAAACTATGCTTATTCAGAACTGAATACAATTAGTAACGGGAAGAAGGCGTAATTAATACTTTGTCACAATGACAAAATATGAACATGTTCTAAGGCAGTATTTATTAAACTATGCTTATTCAGAACTGAATACAATTAGTAACGGGAAGAAGGCGTAATTAATACTTTGTCACAATGACAAAATATGAACATGTTCTAAGGCAGTATTTATTAAACTATGCTTATTCAGAACTGAATACAATTAGTAACGGGAAAAAGGCGTAACTAATTCTTTGTCACAATGACTAAATATGAACATGTTCTAAGGGAGTATTTATTAAACTATGCTTATTCAGAACTGAATACAATTAGTAACGGGAAGAAGGCGTAATTAATACTTTGTCACAATGACAAAATATGAACATGTTCTAAGGCAGTATTTATTAAACTATGCTTATTCAGAACTGAATACAATTAGTAACGGGAAGAAGGCGTAATTAATACTTTGTCACAATTACTAAATATGAACATGTTCTAAGGTAGTATTTATTAAACTATGCTTATTCAGAACATATAAATTGTTTAAAGGCGAAACAAAGACTACAGACCAGTTGAGTTTAATTCCATAAACATGTCACAATTTTACAATTTTTGCTGGCTACTAGTACATGTAGTATATTCAATCTCAAGCATATTTTTAAAGAGCCAAACACTTCTGACACTGGAAATATAGTTTATCATTCAAATATTACTTTAAAAAGTCATTTAAGAAAGAATTTAAGAAAGTGCTTGGAATCATGTAATTTTCATTGATATTGAGGTATTACAGTATTAATGGATGCTATGTTATTGTGATCATGGTGGGTGGAGCATTGCGGCATTCATAAAGTTTCTATAGTGTAGCATTTTATCCGTAAAATCAAACATTGATTTTAAGCATCTATTCCTGGCTGTATTTCAATACGTCCTTAGATAACTAATCAATGACACTAATCAATTAAATAAAAATAATTAAAGTTGAACAGAGGGGTTAACGGAGGGGAGGGAGTGATGTGTCTATAAGACAGGAAAAGAGATGTAACTTGACCTTATTTCCTATAACTCCCCATATTTCACTCTTCAGAGATATAACACCCCAGTCACATTTGTCGTACGGCGGTCGTTCGTCGACCGCAGATCAATTAAACTGTATTCGTTTATACATACACGAATTCTTGTAAAGGATTGGTATCGATATGGAGAACTGAAACCAACATTGTTTTTCTTTAAAACCAATTATTGAAAACATTTCGTAAAAAGACGGTCCTTTATGTAATGGCCACTTGACCAATTTAATGCAAAAATTTCTCTATATATTTCATAGAACTGTTTTGGTTAACATTTTTTTTGTCTTTAGTGCAATTGTTATCTTGCTCCTTTCTACCAATTTTTGAGAATGAAATGAATATCTGTCCCAACCTCGACCATTGGAACAAAATGACATATACACAACGTGTTTGGGTCTCTCAATATTGTTATTATACAAATGAAATTCTGCTTCATTTAACAAAACGTATTCAAAAGATTAAAACAAAAAAAAATAGATTAAAAAATTAAAGTTAACCTTTTATTTCATTTACAAGATACTTTTTTTAATGAACCAAACTTTCCTTTGTACAATTACAATATTGAGAGACCTAAAACACGACTAATGAACAGTCTTACACGTGTTTGATGTTTCCTGGTAAGGTTAGATGATTATGAAAATGATCATGTTTATTCAGGTGTGACCCCGTAGCAAAAGAATTCCCTGAAAACTTTCCTAAATTACGACAATTAAAAATAATAATTCTGCAAAACGCATATACATGTTTTGTTCACTTTGATATTTTAAGCAATAATTACTTTATTTAACCTAAACTCAAGCCCCCATAAGGAGTTTTATATGTGTGAATTCGCCACACATAGGTTATGGAGAATGGCTGACACCAGGGACCCTGCGTTCGGGGATAATACTGTTATTTTCATTTTGGAGAAAACGTTCTCTGGAACTATAAAACATATTATTAAAATCGTACTCGGCAACACTTTCTTTTTCAAAACACCGTCAATATAAATAATAAAATTAATGACCTGACGTGCAAAATATCACCTTTCAGAAACATACTTTATGACAGTTATAAAAAGCCATCATAAAAGTTAATTCATAGTGGAACATTCATAAATGACACGTCAGGGAATGTAAGTTCATATACACGTATACAGAAACACAAACTGGAATATATGCACGCATGATTGCTAAATTATCGATTGATAAAAAAGTATTAAACAAAACAAAAAATAGAAACATATACATGTACTATATATAGTAAAGAGCACAACCATATACAAGGAAAACAAACCATGATATGCCAGAGCACTTTTCGAATCACAAATAAACGATATCAGAGCTTCCCTCTCTTGCCATTGATTATGACTCAACATCATGATACAATGCAACACAATCCTAGAATATTTCAATCATATTTAAAGTGTTTCTGTGATTTAAAGATAATTAGCTTACCTCTTTCAAAGGCTGGCTGATCTGATGCATGTAGATCAGCTTTGCACGGCCCCTATCACTCTCTACAGAATCGTGACGGCTGAAACTGAAATACTGAAATCATGTGCTAACTTTATATCTTCGAATGTTCCCTACATTCCAAATCTCCGTTTGTAAAAGTTCGTAAGTTATTAGCTGCTTCTGTGCCAATCAGGACTTCTCTTTATCCTAGATTGGATATTTTCTACCAAGAAACGCTACTTCGTGAAAACCGTCAAAACCACCATTTTGGTTTCTCGGTAGAAAATATCTACTCGAGGATAAAAATAAGTTCAGGTACAGAAGCAGCTAATAACTTACAAACTTTCTCAAATGGAGCATAGAGAAGTAGAGAACATTTTGGAGATTTAGAGTAAGCACCTGATTTCAGTACTTTAGTTCCAGCCGTCACGATTCTGTAGCGGGATAGGGGCCGTGCAAAGGTTGTTCTATCAGATCAGTCAGTCTTTGAAAGAGCAAAGTTATACCTTTACTAGCTAGATGTACACTTTGGCACCATTTGTCATTTGACAGCCTTGGCAGTGGACATCAGATTTGTACCAGGAGGTGAACAGTATATCATGATTATTTTAGTGAAGGAATCTAGAAGATGAGCATTGCACTGTAGCACGTAATTGCCAACTTCAACAATGGTACTTGCACACAATACCTCATAAAATCTCGTAATAAAATAGCAATTGGCAACAACAATCACAAATTTCAATAAATGAAGCACACGGCCAATTAAATTTTCACTTGTATACACTTGTATATATAGGTACACCGCTCTTCTCTTAAAGTTCGTCGAATCTAAATTAACAACATCGTAACAGCTACCGGCAACGTCAGACGCCAAAATGGAAAAAGCGAAGCTCTTATTTGCATTTTTCTGTGCTGCACACAGCACGATGTATTTTGTTCAAGGTAGGTGTTGGTTTCATATCTCGAGAGTTTAATAACGTTCACACAATACTATATTTCTTAATGTATGAGTTTTGTGTTCATTTTAGACCATACACTAAGGCATTCAAGACAGGCCGGGTCCTTTGACTCTTATCATTGACATATCTGTTTAGTCTAAACCTTTTCGAATAGGGATGGGGATGTGTCGTTGTTCGGATTTAAATTTACTAGTTATTACTCTACTAATTACTATATAAAACGAAATTATTTAGTGGTCTCACATTACAAGAAATTTCTATCCTTTTTAACAAAAGAAATACGCATGCCAAGGGCTACACCCCCAAAATGCAATCTGATTTTCGACGCCGTTTCGGTGCCAAATTTCGGTGCCGTTTCGGCACCAAATGGACTGACTAGTCCGGTGGCAAATTTTGGTGTCGAAAGGTACTGGGTTTCGGTGCCGAAACGGTTCCGGAACAGCGCCGAATTTTTCGATGCCGAAACGGCGCCGAATTATTTTGGATGTTCTATGTGTATTTAAGACCTGTGAGGGATCATTACAAAAAATTCTAGTATTTGAGTATTTTCTTAATTATCCATATTCACAGTCTATAAGGGTCTATTGTCCCCCCCCCCCAAGTTGTTTATCATTCAATTTTTTTTGTCCTCACTTATTTCTACAATTTGCTTTACATTCCCCTGAGCATATGTTAATAGTCATGTGTTTTCATCTCTAATGTAGGCAACCCTTTTGACATAACACGAATGGGCATGTAATTGTAAGCTCGATCAGATTGCCGTATTCTGCAAACTGAAATTTAAACGTCATTCATTGATTAAATCAATGGTCCCATTGAAACGCTCGTTTTAATAAATAATTAAGGAATATATGCACTTTTGTCGGAAATTATTTTAAACGTAGGGAGATTCCTGATAGTGAATTGTTCTTTCCAGGGGCTGGTTGGTCTGTTTGGTTGAACCGAGACTACCCAAGCGGAAAGGGGGATTTTGAAACAACACGGGACTTCAGGAAGGAAGGGGTAAGTCTGCTATGGCTTGCATTAAAAATATGATGACACGTTACTACCCACGCATTACTAACATTTTACAATGTTTCATGTTGTTTAAATAAAGAATACCATTAGGTGGATTCATAGCATAAACTATATGTTATGCTTACAAGTTTAAAAAGATTTGTTCCTAAATATGACATTTTGATTTTCATATTAATTATTCATCCCATGATACTACTACTTCCCGGTGAATAACACCCGGGAATATTTTATGATATTAAAAAATCGTATTGTCCCGCCCGATTCCACCCACGAAAATCGTATTAACCTTACAATCCCGCTCACGAAATGTGTATTCGACTCTCGGGGTTTTGCCGTAAAGTCATATTCTGGAGACTAAATAATTATATAGTCTACTTTTGTTTCATACAAAAATCAGATATGGATGTTCAGTCATGAATATCATGAAATAAAAAGCTTTTTACTGGTCGGGATTACATATGTGTTTATTCCTCGAGACAATATAATATTTCTCTCAGGCCCTCTGGCCCTCCTCTATATATTCACCTAACATGCATGATATACGTCTTCATCCATACAAACATGGGTAATGCCTGGGTCACATTTGCTCCGATTCATCGGCCGGCGATCGGCCAATTGAGTATCCTGTTCACAAATGTATTCAACTTTGAACAGGATACTCATTCGTCCGGGCGCCAGCCGATGAATCGCAGCAAATGTAACTCAGGCATAAGATTATCATATTGTTATATTCAAGCGATTGCCATGTGAAACCCCGTCTGCAATAGAATGTAGGACTGTGAGGACCCATATTCCTGCTTCCAAAACAGGCCAGGTGTTTCATAAAAAAGCTGCCTGTTCTGTAATAGGTGGATTAGCATGTTACAACAGAAAACAGAAAAACCGTCGATGTCTGAACTATGAAGTGAGATATTTCTGCAAAGAAGATGACAACGGTTAGTTCTTAGCGTTTATTTTACTCCATTTGAATATGATAGAATCCATTATAAAGGATACAATAATTCAATAGACTAGATTCAAGTAGAAATGATCTTAATTTATGTGAATTGATACAATAAATCTAATGAATGTTGAAGTTTCCTATATCTGCAATGTTATTTGACCCAAATTAGCTACTGGCATTTACCAAAAAAGTTGAATGCCATTTCATAACATTAGTTAAGAGTACAAATAATCCAAAGTGATTTGAACTTTTCTTTGGGCCAATGAATATTCTTTGCATGGTGCTAAAATATATCATATATCCTGTTATATATTGTCAATCGAATACATGTGGCACGAATTGATAATTTTTCAGTTTGTTCTGAGCCAGAATCCCATATACAGGAGCTACCTCGTGGATGCGAACCTAGAACGTTTGATGTGAAAAAATGTAGTGAAAGCTCATGCAAGAATCAAACAGCTGAAAGGCAATACGATAATGAACCAGAATATTGCTGTGGCCCAACTGCACAAGATACAGTCGTTGTAAAATGTGAAAATGATATCAGCATCAATGTTGTGGTGACGGAACAATGTGGCTGTATTGTTTGCAACCAAGCTAAAGACCCAGAGACGGGTGAAGTGTCTACGCAAGATACGTCCGTGGTTTTCTATGGAAGGGCATTTGGTGTTGATAACAATGAGCCACTGATCTTTGGCGAGGTATTACTGGGAGGTAATTTGAAAACATACACAGGGTTTACTGGTAACTTCCACTTCAGTGTACCACAAGGGCAGACACGAATCGTTGTGCACGTGAGACCGAGTAGATGGTATCTGCAAAACCTTATACCGGCGACAAAAGTGTTTCAGATACCTGCTGGTCATATTGGATCATTTTATAGAGACATTCCTATGATGGAGAAGAAAAAGCCGACTCAGATTGACCCAAGGGAAACTAATCGACTTACAATTGCAACAGTCAAAGAAGGCTCGGGCGAACCTTTCGTCCAGGCTCTAATTCCACCAGGTCAGTTTGTAGACAGTAAAGGAAAAGTTTCCGAAGGCAAAGTCAATGCTTTCATGAACTTTGTTGACCCTAGAGATCTTTCATCAATGAATACAATGCCAGGAGACCTAACATTTGAGGATGAAGATGGTAATACCGGACCCCTGGAGACTTCAGGAATGTTTCGGTTGGGTTTTGAAAAATTAGATGGCACTGAAGTTACATTTAAAGGCAGTGCTAGTGCTGCGATCAGAGCAAATTTCATTGACCAAACCCAAGATCCACCTGTACAACTGTATACTTTAGATGAAGTTTCTGGTCGCTGGAAAGATCCAACCAAACTTGAAAGGGGAACAAAGGGAGAATCGGAGGACATTGAGTATTTTTCAGATAAGATTTTTGATCCCAGGGAAAATCTCACCAAACTTGAAAGGGGAAAGGAGAGACAAAAGCGACAACAATCATCCTTTACTAGCACTTTCCTAGTGGGAAACACTGTCATAACTGACAGGTACTGGCTGAACTTCGACAGACCGGCATTAAATTACTGTTTTATAAACATGAGGATGTTTACAGATGCGACATTCAATACAGAAATACCATGGACCTCTTCTACTGACTTGACCGTCATTGCACTTGGTTCAATGCCCGGATATGGACCATCTTGGAACACGATCACAACGGGAGGAATGTCTTACGAGGGGAAATCGGGCATCAGGTCAATCGAAAATTGTATCTTGACTGTGTGTGGAGCAACAAATATCCATGCCTACTTGTTTGCTGAAAATGAAAATGGTGCATTTTCATCCTCAGCTACACTAGGAGGGAGTCCTCCCGAGTACTCTGTTGTTAACAGCATCCCAGCATTTACTGGCATGGGCCCCACAACTTCACACAACAGACCAATCGAGACTAATGCTACTCTAGGTGCCTCAATTTCCTTGAACACCGATGGACCAGTCTACCATAGCGTAAATAACCTTTGCGAGAGTCCAGCATACTGTAGCAGTAATTGTCCCAATTCAGCGAACCCACGGTGTTTCTTGTGTGATTCAGTTAAATGTCAATATCACGCCTGGTGGTCATCAGTACGATGTCAGGAGGCAACCCTTTCTGATTCTCATTACAGGTTTTATAGAGATCCAAATACATTGTACGAGTACTCAGTCTGTTTGACGGCACAGCCAATCATAGGAATCGCACCTGTTTGTCCTGGTACACCAGCACTTTGGCCGTTGGCCTGGTTTCCCCAAGCGCCAACAGTATATTGGGCATGGTACATAAAAGTAAGAGTGTTAGTAGGCAGTTCCGGAGATGAATCCTCAGTAAGAGCAACGTCAAAAGATAGCAGTACCGGGGACATATATGGCATACGTGAGGATACGACTACAAGTAGGACAGTGTGCCTGGAGTTTAAAGGAAGTGGTCCTACGTTTCCTCCACCGGGGAGTACAATTACCCTTGTTGAGATTGATGTTCAAGGCACCGGATGTAGCGTAAGCAGTGTTCTTCCCGCTCTTGCCAGTTTCCAAGTTGCAACAAGCTTACATCTGTTTGCATTCCAACCTCCCTTGGGATCAAGCTATGGAGGAATTTCTACTGGGTTATACTTTGCTGATGAAACTGCAATGAACACCGCCAAAGACATGGCAAAGGCAAGATGTGAATGCAGTGACATATCGTTAGGGAGTCCCAATTGTGCTGCTCCTTTACCGACGACAGGAGTTGGTTTAACGGTGCAGTGCCAGCCGACTCCATCTGGATAATTCTTAAACAGCTCCAAGTTTTGACGAATCCAATGCGATATTAATTGTGAAACTTTTGATCCGAAATGAACTCCACATTGAACACTCTATTTACCCAAAAAAAAAGAAATGGATTGGTAGAGATATGGTAGACTTAATTCAACATTGTTTTTTTAACCAATTATTCAAAACAATTTCATCTATTGTAATGGTCAACGATTGACAACAATTTACACCATGTACTCAAATCTCTCAATATTGTAGTTATACAAAGGAAAGTCATCTAGAAAATATATAATAGATGCCCCCAAAAAATAAAGTTAAAGTGTACCTTTTATTCTATTGATAAAAGTTCAACATAAATGTTAATTGATTATCTTTGTTTATGTTCATTGTAACATGACACATAACAAGACACATTGAAAATGAACTTGAATTAAAGTGATTAATAAAAGTATATATAAAAGTTCGAATAGAACATATGGTACCAAGAACAAAATACACTGTCTGATGTGTTTTCTAAAACAATAGAAGATATATATTTTTCTAACTAAATTGTTAAGATTCAAAATCGACTTTAGAATTGACGATGCGTAGATTTTTCATGACTACTTGAAGAAAAAATGTGTTTAATTTATTTCACCATATCGCTACCGATCCTTTCATCAAAATTCGAAACGTATTCCAAAATTAAAGTATTGCAATTTTTATCACAAATATAAATCAGGATCAGCGGCGGATTATTAATATTGCATTAAAATGACTAAAATGGACATGTACTATGGCGGAATTTATTTACTCAAGACAGAAACTTTGTTTCAATTCAGATTTGAAAATAATTGTGAGAAATCCCTGTAGAACACTATAGAAATGATATTGACGAGAAGAACGCCTTATACTGCATCAAAATGACTAAAAGTGGACACGTACTATGGCAGTATTTATGTACTCAAGACAGAATCTTTGTTTATTTAGAATTGAAAATAAATTGTAAGATATCCCTATAGAACACTATAGAAATGTTATTGACGAGAAGAACGCCTTATACTGCATCAAAATGACTAAAAGTGGACACGTACTATGGCAGTATTTATGTACTCAAGACAGAATCTTTGTTTATTTAGAATTGAAAATAAATTGTAAGATATCCCTATAGAACACTATAGAAATCATATTGACGGGAAGAACGCCTTATACTGCATCAAACTGACTAAAAGTGGACATGTACTATGGCAGTATTTATTTACTCAAGACATAAATTTTATTCAGAATTTAAAATGAATTGTAACGTATCCCTGTAGAACACTATAGAAATGTTATTGACGAGAAGAACGCCTTATACTACATCAAAAGACTAAAAGTGCACGTGGACACGTACTATGGCAGAATTTATGTACTCAAGACAAAAACTTTGTTTATTTAGAATTGAAAATAAATTGTAAGATATCCCTATAGAACACTATAGAAATGATATTGAGGGGAAAAACGCCTTATACTGCATCAAAATGAATAAAACTGGACATGAACTATGGCAGTTACTCGGAATTGAAAATAAAGTGTAAGATATCCCTGGAGAACACTATAGAAATGATATTGACGAGGAGAACGCCTTATACTGCATCAAAATGACTAAAAGTGGACATGTACTATGGCAAAATTTATTTACTCAAGAGAAAAACCATTTCAGAACTGAATACTAGAAAAAAGCAACTCCAGGGATATTCTCGAATCAGAACCTGTTTTATCAAATATCTTTTGGACATTACATTATAGCAAAAATAAAGTTAGACCAAATCTAGTAACTGCATGGTATTTGTGTTATAAAAAATCATAATTTTCCCGAAAATTGTAACCATTTTAAATTCTTGACCACAATTAGTCATTCTTGATCATTCTTGTCCTATGCTAATAAGAATTGGCACATAAAACCTGGATCAAATCTGAAAGTTGGTATTTAAGTGATCAAAGATTACATTTTTAACAAAAAATGGCTGCCATTTTGAATTGAGTGGTCATATTGGGAATCCCTTCTAATGACATTAGTCTCTAAACAAATCCTATAACTAGTATTAAAAAATGACATTTTCATGAAAAATTTCAGTCATTTTGAATGGAACAGCCATCTTTAAAATTCCTTCCCGAGCAGTCCCATGTCCCTAAAGCTGCAAGATATAACATTTTAACCAAACCATAAACTGCTATTTGAGTTATCGAACATTTTATTTTTATGAAGAATGGCGGCCATTTGAAATGAGCAAGCATATTGAAAAACCCTGCTTCAGCATTTGCCGGTGAATATTGGTCTATAAAATTTGGACTAAAATCCACCTTAAAATTAAGCAGTTAATTGAGCTGATTGAGCAGCTTCTTGAGCTGATCTCCCATCTTCATTGGTATCAGCATATAAAATCTGAAGCAAATCCGTCAACTGGTATTTGAGTTACCGAAGAATACATTTCTTTGAAAAAATGAAGGCCATTGTAAAACTAGCAGCAATATTACAATTTGAACCGAATCCGTCAAGCGGTATTTGAGTTTTTACCCAGATAAACGAAGAACTCACGAATGAACAAACAGACGGCTTTTCTTTATGACTACGAACTTCGTGTGGTGGGATGATAAATGGGGAGTTAAGGCTTGCAATGTTTTTCACAACCTACACGTGAGAGGAAACTATTTGAGCGATGCATTTGTATGGGCGATTGGCCATACGTATAGGTTGGCGTTTCGATTTTATATGCAAGCTTAAACTCCATATTGACTGAAAAACACGAACTGCATCAAATGAGTGAATAGGGACATGAACTAAGGCAGTATGTATTTGCTTAAGTGGTAAACGTTTATAGTATTTCGAAAGCAGTAATTTTACAAGAAATACTACTTGAATCGTGAGTTGATTTTACTAACACTACGATATATTAATTTCTCAACAAATGTACATGCTGATGTAAAAATGACAGCATAATAATCCAAGTAATAAGTGAATTGTAGGTGAAGTACGGATTTGTTTTATTTCCTCACGCGGTTGATGTACAGTTGAAATGGACATTCTTGGGGGTAGAATCTGATGGATTTATACTCGAGCATGTATCTTTAGGGTAAAAACTCCCATGTAGAAGGATCGACAGATCTGTTTCTACAAAATCAGCCTTGAATGAAGGCTGGGCATGCAGTAATTGTCACCTCAGAGCTGATTTTTGCCGGGGTAGGCAAATACATTTTGTACCTCTCTGACGATCCTTTTTTGACTAGAGATATTATATCTATCTTCTTTTTCAGGTAACCTGTCTCCTATGGTTCTGTCCATGTATGTTTACCTTTTCTAAAGACCCCATGCACACAGTTTGAATTTACCACATATAGCCACATGGAGGAAACCTTGAAGGCTGATGCCAGGAGCACTATGATCGGAGGACGAACTTTATTGCAGGACATAACGTTTCATTTTGCAGTAAACATTATTTGAAACTTTGAAACATATTATTAACATCGCACTCAGCAACACTTCCTTTTTAAAACACTGTTAATATTGATATTTAAATGATGATCTGACGTGCAAAATGTCACCATTTAAAACATACATGATTATTTTCATTACAGGTATGAAAATTCATCATAAAAGTTAGTTCATATAGATAAATCAGGGGCTGTATGTACTGTTACACGTATACAAACTGCACCCACTAGAATACATGCAGACACGAGTGCCAAGGGGACGATAAAAGCGTAGAACACAACACAAAACTAAATTGCAACTAATGGGATTTAAACGGCCCTTGTCTCATTTGCGACACGATTCAGTGACTATTTTCGGGAAGAAAATGATATGTCAACTTTTTCGTTCTTAACATGTTGTGTCGATAATCAATAACACTTAGGTAACATCGTAAGAAACTTTATTGCACGCTCAAACAAAAACAAAAGTAATACAACTCAAGTACTTAATCATCTTGTCTACTGCTCATCGATCCAGTATATGGCAATCTGTCCGGGCAAAGATAACGAATTTCAAAATCTGGACATGTTACACCAGGATCTTGCTCACTGTTCAGACATCTTAGACCTCTGTCTGGAACGCACAGCCATGGAAACTTTAGTTTTACTTCTCCGAATGTATCCGCCCCACTGACAACATAATTGTCAGTATTTTTGACTCTACACTGGGCCCCTAGTCTGGAAGTCTGACACATTAGTGACATATTCTGAAAGACAAAACGGACCTACTAAGTACATCACAGGTATGATTCACCTATTTGTGAATACTATTATGGTTATTAGGGATGTTTCAGCTATTCGGAATCTGAAAGTGAGCTTTACAGGGAAAGTGAAAGTCAGATTTCAGGGGTCGTGTCATAAGGGTTTAGATTTTGGACGATATGGTTTGATTCTTCCTGTATACGGTCATCAGTTCCATATTTTCATGTAAACTCTACAATAATCAGGTAAACAAATACATATTTACTTATCTAGACTCAATTATTATCAAGAGAATCATAAACAATAATGAATACATACCTTTCTGTTCCGACATTTTACAGTCAATTCCTGTGGAGAGTGAACATCAATGAAGAAGGCAATAAGTGTTTGATTTATATGAATAGTATTAAATTCTTCAATGAATGTATTGTATACATACAAATACTATATATAGTCTACTCTCATACTATATACCCATTGAAGCTTTTGAAATAGATCCTGAGTTGTTTAGGCAATTTGTTCAGGGAGAATGTCAAAAATAGTGAAGTATTTTTATGATTGTATTTTCAGTAGAATGCGCACTTTGAGCCTAAGAGAGAAGCATGCATTAGTTGCATTGCTTATGTTTCTAGCTGCACCACCACCAGAAGGCCTTCAAGGTGAGATAATTCCAACCCTATTGTTTTTATTGGCGCCTCCTCCAGATCCGTTGTTAAATTTTCGTAACAGATTGGGCGCAGATAACAACAATTGGCAAGGACGAGATGTCCTTGGATTATTTGAAAAACACCCATATGAGTTTTTTGAAACTGTTGGTAAAACAGTTAATACGTTTCATGAGATGGTTGGTAATTTTCTGCCTAGAACTTTTGGTATGCGACATAACATGTCACCTCACAATAGACTACTCCTGACATTGATCTGGCTGAGATCGTACCCTTGTTATCCTCTACTCTCCCTGATGTTCGATGTTAGCATTACAACTGTGTCACGAGTCATTAATGACATTTGGCCAATATTATGGGAACTACATGTATATGCATCCAATGTACGCTGGCCATCTCTTGAAGAATGGAATGCAATGAGGAATAATTGGAATGATCTCCCATTTGCAATTGGCTCTATTGATGGAACATCCCATGAAATTAACAGGCCAGAAAATGAACCCCAAGCACTTTTTTACTCTGGAAATAGAGGAAGCCATTGTATGCATACCCAACTAATAGTAGATAATAACAATGACCTTCGTTATGTCCATAGTGGCTTTTTAGGTCATATGAATGATGCACAAACATTTGGCTATATGGCAAATATTGGGCCCGGGGGACCTTTAGTATTCCCTGAAGACTGTAGACTTTTAGCTGATAAAATATATCCATGTCGATATCCACTCCTTAGGAAGTATAAAAGTTCTGAAATACGCATAAAACCCCTAAATTTACGTAAAAAATGTAAGCGGCTAAACAGAAAAATTGGGAGTAGGCGGAGTTATGTAGAGCATGTGATTGGTCACATCAAGGTTTTTAAGGTTATAGGTACACTTTTTCGCCACCCACGACAACATCTGGCAAAGCTCACAGAATTGTGTGCCGGTCTTAGTATAAGGAGGGTTAATCTCTTTGAAACTACTTAAACTGCTCAATCAACTGTTCTATCAATACATGTAATATTCAGTACAAGAGAATATACTTTGTGTCATATTTCTAATAAATGTAATCCGCAGCGAATAACAAATAAAAGCATCTTGAAATTATTTTATGTTGCTATATTCGCTAAAAAGCACATTGATGTTTTTAACTTTGAAACTATTGATTTATCAGTTATAATAAACGTTTAATGCAACTGAACTTATGACATGACCCCTGAAATCTGACTTTCACTTTCCCTGTAAAGCTCACTTTCAGATTCCGAATAGCTGAAACATCCCTAATGAAAACACAGAATAAAATCCTGTGCTGATCGTGCTGATGCGGGGATCGAACCCACGGCCCCTCGCTTTCCAGGCGATTGCTCTACCACTGAGCTATATGACCGACTGGCTTTTCCACATCGACATTGCATATATAGCATTGCAGCCATATCTTACATGCCCAGTTTCCTGGGCCCCATATACGTAGTATTTTGAAATATACTGAAATATTCCAAACAATACATAATATGTTGCAATTTAGACTAAACTAGAATAGAAAATGAATGCAATAACAATCAATCCACACAACCCATTTGGCCCTGTGATTAAATATCAAGTGGCGTTTTTTGGCCCACCCTGTATAGCTCAACATTTCAAAATTCAACAAGAATCAATCATGCCTAGATTTTTTTCGACCTCCGACTTAAGCCTACTATGTGTCACGAACCTTTTGGAATGTATTTTAATAAAAACCCTTCAACTTCGACTGGGTACTTATTCATATTACAAACAGGGCTAATTTTTTAACTGCCCGCGGGCGAGTGCATTGTATTACTCCTTGGTATCACGAAAAAGAACAATGAGCCCATGCGTTGCATGGGCTAATTACTAGTATTATATTAATTTCATAATGCCGCTTTCACCTCTTTTTCACTAAAATGGATTATTTCTTTTACCCCACATTTGTTAAGAGATGAATTTGCTAAGGGTTTAAGTTGTCGGGGATTTAAAAATATATTGTGGTTTTATTGGTTTATCCTTGTCGCATCTTTTATGTCATCATCATAGACAAAAAACATATTTTTTAGCATGAACCTTTTCAAATCTAGCGGAAAAGCAACAAAAAGGCTATTTTTCGATGTAAAGAAAAATATTTATCTATAAGTGGTGTTAATTTTGTAATGTTAAATGATTTCTGTACACTGAACATTTATAGGAAAACAGGCACGGAATAGTGCAAAATCTGACACAATGAGACGTTAGACGTCATTTAGAAAGAAATTCAAATAAGTGTACAGAACTGAATTTATCGCGTTCTTAAATCTTGCTCTTGTTGCATTCTTTACATCCACTAGCCTATGAACATCAAATAGCCTACCACTGTGCTACGGTGATTTGCGGAAAACACGATATATACAAATTCGTACATGACATATTCCGCAACGAAAATTAAATTGAAAAAATTATACACTTTAAACTCATAAACTAAGGCTATGAAAGACCATATCCCAAACACTTTACTAAAAAATCACCTTTGAGTACTGTAATAAGTATCATCATATCTATTAATTTAAAATTTGGAGAAGAACAGAAGAAATGTACTGTCTATCAAGATCATTTGAAATTGCTCGTTTAGAGATGAAACACGATGAAAATGTAAAATATCCGACATATTGACGTCATAAAATCGCCGTCATTTCTGGCTTTGAATTATAATCATGTACACCCATAAACTAGAAAGAACGGGACTGGACTGAGAAATCGAAGATCGAAGGGTTTTTATTAAATACATTCCAATAAAAAGCTTGACACTCAGTACGTCACATTCCATTTTGTTTGGTCGGAAAGGAAAATGGAATGCCTCGCAGAAAGTGAATACATTTTAATTACCTTAACTTGACCAGCAAGGTCTTCATTTTCAACTCCATCCATCGGGTCGTCTCTGCTGAACCAGTCAGTCCATGTCACCATCACTATATATAAATAATAAAAAGGATACACACATGAGACCATGCAAAATTAAATATCTGTCACAACTCCTGTTTGAATTTTTTCTTACTTTTTATTGAAAATACCAGGTCGTTCAATGAGTTCACGGAAATGTGCTCTCATTTTAAATGCAAGGAGCACACGTGTCTCGAACTCGCAATCTCGTGGTTACGGCCCCTATCGCCTAGCCTAAACATGCTGGCGCTCAAGCCCTCTCGGCCAACTCGACAACCCCAAAAAAGCTTGTTTTGTTAGTCGATCTGACTAGAGGCATAGAGATATTTTATCATGAAATTTTCATACAATAGTATAAAAATTACTTTCCGATTGATTCTTAAAACATAAGCATCGCTATCTCTATCTCTCATCTATTGGTATTCAAATTACAAATGTTCTGAGAGAAAATTGATGTTCATTATTATCACGAACATTTCTAAAATCGTGCTAGTCAATGCTGTACCAGTGAACCAGAAAACTACAAAGAGTAATGCTATGGTAAGTTGATTAAAACTTAACCATTCAGCCAAACTCTAAATTTTTCCATTCATAATAAATAAAAGGGATAATGCCAGAGCCGATCACACTGGTAATTTTGTGCAGGAAAGCATCACAAATAACTGGCAAAATTTTGAAAATAAATGGCAAATCTGCCCCAAGTTACATACTCTCCAGATGAGACAATCCTTGATTTTGCTGTTTTCACTAGGATGAAGGATCAGCTAAGAGGTGCACTTTATGGAACAATGAAACTACTTTCGACTGCAGTCAAGATTGCCATTCAAACAAGTTTTCATGTACAAGTAGAAAGCGCATAAATTCATGTGATATACTCATAAATTGGCTTCTATTCTGATGTTTTTCTAATGAATAATGTGACGTAAAAAGTCCCCCGGCTACCCAAAAGTCAATTTACCATAGTAACCCTTTTTGACCAATCAAATAAGAGATGCTGATATTTTAAGAATCAATCAGAAAGTATTCTTTGCACATTGTGTGAAAATTTTATGGGAAAATTATTAGAATATTTGAAATGAGAGCATTTTCAGTGAACTTATTGATCGATCTGGTATGCCTTTTCTAAATGGCTGTGGAAAATATGACAAAAAAATATATCTAATTCATAGCTTCTATTCATGTTACAATGATAAATTTGGCGTTAAAATTTACATTTATTCGGCTGAAGAGTGTAGAATCAGATTTATAAGGTTTTGAAAAGAACATACACATGAAGCTTGCATGTGAAATTATATGTCTATTACAAGTCCGGTTTTTAGATTAACCAAAAATACTATTCGGATAATTGAATGCGTTTAGAATGAATATGTATTAATATCATAATGAAAGTTTAGTTACATACCTACTCCACATTGTTTTAATTTTTCATCGATTTTTTTCGGGCAGTCCCAAACGCCCAAACACACACTGATAATCAGCAAAAGAGTAAAGACTTGAAGAGATGATCCTCTCATAATGCCCGTCATATGACAACTGAATCTGCTACATATATCCACCAACTCCTTTTCTGATTCAATTGTTAGTTTTTCCTTTGACTAATTGATTACCTAATGTTGCGAAATCACTCATACATGACATTATATTTCAAGTTTGATTAGCTGCTTTAAAAACCATTAGGTAGGCGTCTTGTCGTATGAAAAAAATGTTTACGAGCAATGAACATTGCATTTTGAAAATAGCGATCAATTTGCCACGAAATACAATTTTGTAAATGAAAATAAAACACTGGTCTCGAAAACGAGTTGTTTACTCTTAACTTGTATTCGCGAGTACAACTATAGCTGTCGGCTACCGGATTAACTTATTAATTTTCATAAATTAATCCGTGAATTAGCTAATCAGCTACCGGGATACAAGACAGGTACTCTTCATATTTAAATGAGTTTGCCATTAAAATTGCAATCGACGCGGTAGCCGTTATTTGCATTTGAGAATACAAGCTTATAGTCTTGCTTCAAGACCCTGTTATTATCTATTCTAACAAATTGTGTCACAGGGTCTTGTAGCTAGACTAACAAGCTTATTGTACACAAAATTCGGCTGGGGTCCTAGGCTAAACCCTCATATATCAATATGTTCCCATACCGATCTGTCAAATTTAAATGTGACCCCATACCAACCAACATAATTTCTAAAAGCCATACCAATTGTCCAATATAGGACCAATGCCATACCAAATGTCCAGATATAAGACCAAGGCCATTGAAAATGTCTAGAGCCCCGATCTTTAAGGTCTTAAAGGAAAACAATCCAGAACAGCCTCATAGTAAGGATATGTGTAACTACTAGACCAATGCCATACCACAAGGTGAGAGGTAACGTATTTTTCAGAAAGTGGAAAAATCTGACCATTGCCAAAGCTGAGACCATCATCACAGTGATCATAAAATCTATATTAGTCTCAGTTTAGAAGTACGTTTACATGAAGCTCATACCTCAAATGGTATACACCTTTCATTATTAGCGGGGTCAGATGTCCTTTTTTTTGTTCGGCTTTTTCAGGAAAGCAACAAACTTGGCACAGTTGTAGAATCATATGATATGAGTAAAAAATGATTTCAGGGCAAGTGATTTGGGGTGGTCTTCATGGATTTTTTAGCCTCTGACCCCCACCCCTACCAGACTGGGAGGGGTATATTATTAAAATTAAATAAAAAATGGTTTTAAAGTATTTTTCTTTAAATGACTTCATTTGGTGATTGCTTTGAGCATTGAAATTGTGTAAAACCCAATTAAGAGAGATAAACCCTTTTTACATTTAACGACATAGTATATCCAGTGTGAGACAGACGAAATGCCACCCACCCACATAATGTTGCATTTCTTTTTTATCTGCAAAAGTTCTGACTTGTCCTTTCGCATAGTAAAACTTAACTCCATGGAGCAGCTCCAGAGGAAGTTTCAGATTACTAGCTGGATTGGATGCACCTTTATGAGCATTACAAGATGGATGGTCTATTCTTTGGTAGGCACGCCTGGATTTTACACTAACATGACACCCACCTTTTGTAACATCATTTGGATCTGAATAGATAAAAGGTTACCCTTCGCAATAGTGTGGCTTGCTTCTTTAAATATAGCTCCATCTAATTGACAAGCACTGTATTCCAGGGTAATAATAGTTATATTCCAGTTTGGCAAAGTAGAAAATCGTAGGGCTCACACAAGGATCAACTTTATCGAAGACTTTTTGTACTGGTATATACCCCGCAGCTTTAAGAGCAAGAGCAATGAATTGCGATTTTCAGCTGAAACAATGAAACAAACACAATATTATCATTTTATTTAATATTTAACAAATAAAATTGTTTTTAACTTTATATTTTTTCAAATCATCACTAAGTATGAAAAAGTAAATAAAGTGGATCCTTGTGTTCGCCCTATAATGATTTGCTTTGCCAAAAACTAAGATAATGGTAATTGAAACATTTAGAAAACATTGAATCAGAAAAATAGGAATATTATCATTAACAGCAGTGACTTTTGGATTAAAATGGCATTTCAAGGTCAGCAATGTATAATTCTTCACCATTATTGTTTGTGTTAAAAATGACCACATCCAAATGGACTATCCTACATATCAATATCAAAATTGGCTCATATTTGAAACTCATTCAAACTCATCTTTTCGTGTCACCTTTGTGATTGCAGACATATTAAAATGAATAGTCCATTAACCAATCTATAATGATTATTTGCCACTTCTTAGTAATCTATCCCAACATCGGTTTAGACTAACTAAACCACTTTGGAAGCGATTTGGCGCATACTAATCATTTTCTTCAGAGAGCATTATATTTTGTATCGAAATCATAATTTCCAGCATAGTATTCATAATATACATGTGTATAACGATTCCCGTTGACACCAACGCGAAATTGGAAATCGCCCGTATTTGAAGTAGACTAAGCAGCGCTTGTTTTGTATGCGCGCTATACAAAACTACATGTATATTGATTCATTTGCTTTGCGTTCACGGTTACGTTGGGGAAAAAATCGGAATACCTTCAGTTGCTTTACTTTTTCTATCCTTTTTGTCCGAGCTACGCAGAGGAAGAAGTTGATAAAACTTGTTGATTAGGTCAGTGTTCCATTATAAGCGTCTATATAATCCATTAACCTATTTCACGGTGCCCATGTCAAGCTGCGCGCCTACTAGGCACGCAGTTTGAACCTCTGACAAACTGCGCGCATATTTTAAAATGGAAGACGGGGAGGACACGACTCCCAAAAAGAGCCAGAATACGTAAAGTACAAGGTTAGTCTCGTTCTTAAGATAGTACGATTCTGTGAAGATGAACTTAATTTACCCATAGTGCGTAATGTTGTTCCCGATGCAAAACTAGTTATCTCAATATAAGGGACTTAACTAGCTTCTGCGTTCAAAATTTACAGTGTTAAGTTATATTTATGTCTTTTTATCGTCATTTGGCACTTATTCAGCCATTGTATATATGTATGCTAGAATATATAGGATCACTCCTTTTGATTAAAGTAGCAAAGTTTGTGTTCAAAACGTTAATACGCCATAAACGTGATTTAACATTTTTCCTGTCAAACTGCGCGCCTATATTTCACATGTAATTCCCAAAGTGCGTGCCTAATATTTCAAAACTGCTTGTCTATTCAATCTTACCGTATGATCTGTTAAATGAAGCCCTCTGATTGGTCAGTTCTTGTATGTATGTATGTATATCTTTATTGCCCTTTATGAAAAGGAGATACATGTATACGGTGTACAATGAAAATAATGCTGATATTACATTAATGTTAAATGAACATAGAATAAAAATATATACAATATATAAAACACACTTTATACGTTAGATGAGTGCTAACCATCTTCCCCAAGGTCGATGTAAGCATCTCATCTAATGAACCACAGACGATATAAGATGCTACCGCTACCTCATCGTCCAATTACAACCCTCAATGAGATCATTTATGCAGAGATCATAATTGAAAAAGTAAAAAAGGTTAGGTTAAGAAAGGTTAAGTATGTACATACAATTTTATACATTATATAATATACTTATCTCATTAGTTGAGTGCAAATCATCTTCCCCAAGGTCGATGTAAGCATCTCATCCAATGAACCACAGACGATATAAGATGCTACCGCTACCTCATCGTCCAATTACAACCCTTAATGAGATCATTTTGTGCAGAGATCATAATAGAAAAAGTAAAAAAGGTTAAGTATTTACATACGTTTTATACATTATATAATACACTTAACTCATTAGTTGAGTGCAAACCATCTTCCCCAAGGTCGATGTAAGCATCTCATCCAATGAACCACAGACGATATAAGATGCTACCGCTACCTCATCGTCCAATTACAACCCTTAATGAGATCATTTTGTGCAGAGATCATAATTGAAAAAGTAAAAAAGGTTAAGTATGTACATACGTTTTATACATTATATAATACACTTATCTCATAAGTTGAGTGCAATTCATCTTCCCCAAGGTCGATGTAAGCATCTCAACCAATGAACCACAGACGATATAAGATGCTACCGCTACCTCATCGTCCAATTACAACCATTTGAGAGATCATTTGTTCAGAGATCACAATTGACAGTAGATATAGATTAAGTATGTACATATGGTTTATACCTTATGTATATAAAATATATAGATAGATATAAAATATGCATTAATCAACAGATTTTAACCCATGGTTTGCATTAAAACGCATCCGAAATCATATAAGTCAGTTATGAGTTGCATTGCAAGCACGAAGCACGGAGGTGGTATTGCTCTTGCACGATAAGTGAAACCCCTCTCAAAAAATCTAAAGACCGGGGATCATTTCTAAAGTTAATCCCTAAAATGTTGTTAATATTCATCTCTATACCAAACTTTTGGCAGTGCTCATTTAGTTTACGTCTAAACGGGGTATAGCTATTTGCTGTGCACGTTAACATAAAATGGATGACATTTTCCTGTTGAAACGTATTACACATATAACATAATTTTGACTTGTTTTCTCCGCCTCGATATTTTGTTCCTAGAGTATGTTCGTTTGTCAGAAGTTTAACCATAATTTTGCAACCACCAAGGGCAACAGGGAACTTTCTGGCAACACACCACCATATATTTGGACTCAAAGACCTAAAATCATTCAACCTAAATAGTTCAAGACCAGTATACATAATTGATCTAACAAACGTCCTCTGTATTTGTGCTGTCGAAAGTTCTGTAAAAACAATTTTCTTCCACATTTGTTTGGTGATTCGAGTTTTACAGTATAGCATATCGAGAATGTATTTATCCAAGTTGTATTTTATAGCACATATGAGCATGTTACGGATAGGAGAAAACACATCAAAGTTTGTTTTCATATACGTCAATTTTATCAACCGTATCGTGAATATGTGTTTGTAAATATTTGAGCAACGGAGTTGTAAAATACTAAAGAAAAACATCATTCGGAGGAAATCTATGTAAAAGTCTATATCAAGTAACCCAAGAGGAAATGTTGAGACTGGATTGCTAGCAGATTGGGAAAGGGATTGAATCCTCCGTCCAATGCCTCTCTGTACTATGTTTAATTGTTCAATATCTTTTTGATGATAATTGATTACCGGAGCACCGTATGTCATACAGGGTATGGAATAAGTTTTGTATATCTGACATGCTGAAGTGGGAACAAGGCCTC